TTTTATCATGGTTTGCATATGATGTTAGAGAAAAATTCTATACAAAACACAGATGGGAAGGGTTGTATACACTTTACAGGGTCAGTAGATAGCTCAGGCTATGGGAAAGAGAGACATGTATGGACATATGACAAAGTTTCATATGTTGGTGCCCAGAGTTTGGCTTATATGGTTAAATACTATTTATAATATGCAACAATTCCCCAAAAAGGGGGTGGGGGAGAGATTTTAACTGTAAACCACTTATGTCACAATCACCTTTGTATCAATACTGATCATTAAACTTTAGAGACACATTCAGTAGATCAAAGCAGAGAGCTTTGTAAAATGCAAGGACTGTGCACAAGACTGCACATGCCATATTGCCTCAACCTGTAAAAATGTACTAAAATGGAGAGAGTAAATGGTAAGAATGTTCATATGTTGCTTGTTTTTTTATTTTAACCATAACACACATCAATTTGCCTTTGTTATAATTCTTAATATATATATATATATATATATATATATATATATATATATATATATATATATATATATATATATATATATATATATATATATTGCTTGCTTTTCAGATTTTGTGCCACAGAACTGCAAGCTGAAATTGAACAAGCGACAGATTTACACAGCTTAACCCGAACTGCAAGCTGAAATTGGACAAGCGACAGATTTACACAGCTTAACCCGAACTGCAAGCTGAAATTGGACAAGCGATAGATTTACACAGCTTAACCCGAGATTCTCCATCTCCATGGTTGCAGTTATGGACAGCACTATGAATCCTGCCATGGAAATTTCTCTTAAAGATTATATTTTTTGGTAAGCTGCATTTTGTCTTTCAATTCACTGATTCCACTGAGTGTTCTTGTTTAATTTTGTTTTTAACACTGTAAATTTACCTAGCTGCTACTCAACATGCATGTGTAATGTACTATCCTCTGTCTCTCTCTCTCTCTCAATGGATATTTTCAGATCTGTTGATGTGAATATATGAAAAAGAGCTTCATATCAGAAATATGGTCTCAGATTTGAAACAAAAGCTATTTATATAGGCAACATTGCTCTGCACTAACTATAAAGTGATAGAATAGCCATTTAGTTGCAAATTAGAGCTTGATACTTGGTAAACAAATCAAGATATGTTACCTCCCCTTTGACTTTAATTCAGTGATTGCAAGGTTTGTGTTGTTACTTTTTTTCAATAATTTGAGTATTTTATTCAGCTTTATATTGAAAAATAAGTAATTTAACACTGCTTGATGTGGAAAGTCGCCACAATAATGATGTTGAGGCCTTTTCTTAACTTATTATGAGTTTTGGGTAAATGTAGATAAACAATGTATGTATTAGACAACTTTTATATCTATTACTTAAATTTACCAAGTAGTTTATGCAGCAATAAATTTTAAAGACTTGACTTAGGATTACTAAATAATGAATGTAGCACTTGATTCGCTTGGTGCTGAATCAATAACATGGACTTCATGCACATGTAGGTCAAGAAAATGCCGCGGCTCATATGGTGTTCTCCACACAGAAGCTTGCACCAAGGATAGTTGTGCATGGAGAAATGTATGTCTGATCATCAGTACCCAGAAATTTTAAGTTATTGAATTTTAAATATGATGGTATTTCCATATGTTTACTATGGGAGTTGAATTAGTACCGTGACTCCTGTAGGACTCTCCACCTACTGGAATAATTTGTCGACGGGTACAATATTTTTTCCGTCAGATATACTCCCGTTTGTTTTTATCTGATTGAAGTGAACATAGAACCTTAGAGTGTTGATTAATGCTGATGAATTGTGTGCCACGTATGGGGAAATCTAATCCGATAAAAGATTGCTGCTTTCGGCTTTGTCAACGCAAATATATGGATTAACGGTACATGAAGCCTAATGGAATATGCGTGGATGTAGGGCAAGAGATGCTGTCCCGCCTGGTAAGCACATCTTTGTTCTCAGTCATTTCAGGAATGGCAGCCTGTAGAATTTTCTCGAGTGTTTGTATGCTGTATACTCGTATAATACGGTAATGATTCTAACCGATCACACAACGACCGATGTCATCTGAAATGTGTTGCTGTTAAACGCATTCGAAATGTTAAACCATAAGGGTCTGTGGAAAATTTTCCGGTGTACAAGTCAACAAACGAGTCAGTGCATATCACTCACTCTAGAGTCACTGGCTCAGTTAAAGCATTAATCAATTCAACATAATTTTCAGAACCAATAAATGTGGCAGCACTAAAACGAAGCGATAATATTTCCATAAGTACATCACTTTAATAGGTACACAACAATAGCTAAAGGAGGCGTTTCAATTACAACGAGGAAGGGAGGGCACATATCTGCCAGCCGTTACCCAACCTTGACATGTAAGTGAAGATAAATACCTCATTCAGAAACGACAACGTCTTTGACGTGTTCTAAAAGTTTGCACGAACGAACGTCGAAGCTAAAGAGGTTATTAACCTGTATATCTCAGTAAATGCAGACTATAATATGAGGTTCTGGCAAAATCAAATATACTTCTTATCTAAAGTGCACGACCACCTCTTGCAGTGTCAGAGTTCGCGATCATCTGTTGCCATTAGTTCCTACAGGGACGACACATGCGTGACGGTAGGACTACCAGCATTAAAGCGAAACTTTTACTGCTAGCATGTTTACTACCTGATGGGAAAGATTCTCAGTCCAATGAAGTGTCCAGTTCCGCGCGAGACGCGTTCCAAAAATAGGTGATTATCTCTAATAGCCTTTTCATAAGCAGAGGGGACAACTTGATGATTAAACATGGCATGAACTATGTCCTGGCAAAGATGTACATTATCTATGGCCCCGGATTTCCATTCATTAATCAGGCCCTGGAATATGAATAGTACTGCTCAAACAGGTATCCCTCTCCACTGTATTTAAAACCGAGTATTATTCGTTTAGGTGCCGGAAGGCACCCACCCCCAAAGAAAAATAGTGGGTCTCATTTCGCGCAGGATTTGGATGGTGCGAAGAAAAATGGATTTATGTACTTTATTTTGGGCAAATTGCAGGGCTTCATTGATTAAGTCCATATATATGTTTGGGCAATCTTTTTTTGCGTAGTCTCAGATGCTTACCTCGATCATCGGAGGAGATTTGGCATTTGATGCACAAATTCAGTTTATCACACTATTAACCTCACACATCGTCGACGCTGACGTCATCAGGAGGTATATAGCCAATTACATCCTCTGGGTTACATTTACATGAACCCGTCCAACATGGAGATTAAACTTGGCTGATTAATATGGCTGCATCCACCACAAAAAAATTGGCGGAATAAGGTATAAAATGACTTCTTTTCAAATACTGCTTTACTCAACAGAAATTGACCCAGCTTACCAGAAAGCGGTATTGAACTATGAGCTCTCATACTTTTACAAATTATGCCAGTTCGCCATTTAATACTATCATCATGGCCAAAGAAAAAAGATAATTTCAAAACTTTTTTTTAAAAAAAGTACCCAACAGTCTCACTAAATTTTACAGCACGAAGTCTAGCATGAATGGCCTTGATGTAAATAAACATGACGGCAATATGTCGTAAAATATTGTTGCTGCACGCCTGTTACTAAATATAGATAAACCTTGACAACGTCAAATTTAACCGAAATTGTCCTAACTTGAACGTGTTTCAAATTGACAGAAGGACGATGTTCTGCCACTATATATGGTTGTCGTGAGTAATTGAAAAGCCCTGGCACAACGTCATCTAAAATCAGATATTGGAAAGGTATTTGTCCAGGTTTGACTAATGATGCAGACGTATCATGACATATAGATTTAAATAACAAAAACCCTAGAGAAACAGTGAAACGCCTTTTTTATAGCACATGCTGTCAACAACATGAAAAGATATTTTAGTAGAAAGAATCCTAATGACCCAGATGTATTTTTAGAGTACAGCAACGGAACTAGCACCTTGTAAGGATTATTTACGATTACATGTTTGGGTGAGCTCTTTTCCTTGCAGGAAAAGTTTAAAACATTACAGTTATTTATTAGCACAAGGTCCATGAATTTAACTACAAAACTTGATAAAAATGTCACAATAGTACAAGTTATGGGTGGGTCACTTTCCATTCAATTCACTCTTTGATTACGTTTAGTACTTTGAATTTTATCTTTGTCATATACGCAATGTTAAGGTCCAAATAATCTGACGAACGGTTACAATATAGTGCAATTTGTTAATTGCCTACCCTATCTACCGTTTATACTCGCTTATATGTTGATTCAAATTCCAAACAAAAGAGATCCTGGACTAGTCTTATATGGGTACAGACAGTATTGAGATACTCGCATTTTAGGTGAGGGTAAAAGAATACGGATGAACCTTACCTGTTCAGAACCAGTCTAAACGTCCTTTCTCTGATGCATTTAACAGAAATAGAACAATTGCTTTATCTGCATTTTTTTTCATCTGAAGAAAGGTTGCGTATCTAGCTGTAAACGTATACACATTTATCACAGGTTGAAGCTGAAAATGACTAGCGGAGAATAAGTTTATTGTTGGTCACTGTACTAATTCTTCTCTTATCTTATGACAAAAAGGTAATCGTGTAACTAAACGTGTTATGATCTGTAACGTGTGAAGGTAGGAAAAAAGAAAGGAAGACAGAAATAAACACATGTCTGAACGAATACTCCCCCTCCCCCGATCTGGAAGACAGAAAGAAGAGAATATTTAAATTTCTGAATGAATCAGGAAAGAAATGTGTGTGTGTGTGTGTGTGATTTAGATTTTTGACGTAGCTTTTACAATTTTGCAGTCATATCGCTACGATGTCTTCAGTGTGATAGTTTATAGTGATGTCTAGCACTGCGGCATCATTTCGCAGACATGGGTCAATATGTCCCACCCAGTCACATTATCCTGACACCAGGCCAACCAGTCCTAACACTAACCTCTTAATGCTGAGCGCCAGGCGAGGCAGCTATTAGTATCATTTTAAAAAGTCTTTCCGGGGTTCGAACCCACGACCTCCCGCATTCAAGGCGGACGCTCTAACCACTAGACCACTGGAGCGGTAGGAACGAAAGTAATAAAAGGAGAATGGACTGATGTTTATGAAAGAGGAAACGGAAACGTTTACAAGATTTATGGGAACAATTCAACATTTATCTGACACCATATAATCTAATTGTCTCTAATATCAACTGCAGCATGTTGATAACAGCTGGTTTAATAGAAGGTTCATCCTTTCGCTTGTGATTCCTAGGCTCGAGCACCTTACATGGACCTTTTATGTGGGATCACTCTGTCTAAACACATAATACTCGTTAGTGACCAAAAGCATCCTGATTAGCGACTGGACCTTTTTGCAGGGTCGCAATCTGCATATTAAACTTTTGCTGTTAATCCTTGAGGCTTCGACTTGTTGGATATACTTGTTGGACCAGACTATGTAAACTCGTGCCAAACGCCCGTGATCTCAAACAGACTCCAGACCCAGAACCGGGCCTACTTATGATATTTCTTCTTCTCAGCTCGTACCGATCGTTCGAGATCCTTTGGACTCGTAGCTAGATCTAAACTCGTTGGATCATAACCTCAGTAATACCTTACGTCAAGCTCATGCAACCACGTTCTATCATTTCAGTGGTCTTGATATATATTGCCCCATCCCACAGAGAATGGGGTCTCCACATCACCCTGATGCAGCTATCAGAATGCGTGTCGTTAATAGTCATTCGATGTATATATTGCAACACTGATAACTCCTTTTCCATTATAAAGGAGGAAATCGCAAATATTTAAGCTTTCGGCACTGAATAACTCTTGCCACATTTTGAAGACCAAATCATATCATTTTCATAATTTAATAACTGATCAAAATGCACGAGGTCATATATTACTTCGTTACATTTCCATACAATGATTTAAAGCGGTTACATCGTCATTTAGTAAGACAATTAAATGCCAGTTTCCTCGTCATGAAATCCCTAGTGTTTGAATCGAAGCTTTTTAAAATTAGGGTCATATTAAGAAACAAAAAATGGTTACTCAACGCCAAATTTTATTAGATCTTAAAATGAAAACTAAAATATCCCGAAACTGTACGAAAACATGTTTCTGAGTAAATTAAAACAATAATTAATTAGTATGGATTTTATTACGTCACATTTTATATCTTTGCAGAGTTAGGGTACATGCACATTATTTAAAATTACATCCATAAAAAAGGTAAGTTTGAATGTTAAGTCTAATATTTACAAAAACCAGGCAATTTACACAACCATATAAGTGGATCGGATTAAAGTATTATTCCACTAATTTTGTAGTTCCTTTATTCGCGTGAATTCAGTATGAATTAAGCGCACGAGTGCAATATCGGAAAATACCGAACGATTCCGACAATTTAAAGTTAACGGAGAAAACAAAATGAGCATATAAACAAGTTTGCCTATCACACACTCAATAAATGCTATGCAATAGGTTTGCTTATAGCACAATCCATAAATGTTATGCAGTATGTTTACCTATCACACACCGAATAAATGCTATGCGGTATCCTTCTTGCTTATCACAGACTCAATGAATACTATGCAACACGTTTGCCTGCACACTCAATAAATGTTATGCAGTATATTTACCTGTCACACTCAGTAAATACTATGCAGTAATTTTGCCTATCACACACACAATAAATGCTTGTCAGTATGTTTGTCTATCATACCGTTAGATAATAATTGTGTGTTAACTATGCAGTGTATCTCAACAATGGAATAAAATATATGTATACCGTCTTGATAATTTGCTCTACTCATGAGCTATTCATTTCACCGCATTGAAAAACATTTTAAAAACTCCAATGTTGGATGAAAGTCATGGTGTGACTTTATAAGAGTTCAAGAGCATGGTTCATTAATGAAAATTAACCCAACAAAATTTCAAACTTTATATTTCTGTATTTTCTTTAGATAGTGGTAGTAAATATATTCTTCAACATACGATTATATGAAGTAAGTTTCTTGACCGAAGTAACATTACATTACAACAGCACTTCATCTTCATCTATGCATACTGTGATACCATCTAGTCAGCTATGGAGACTGTAGGAACTGCTGTTCAGCTGTGCAGATTGTAGGAAGTGATAAACAGCAGTACCTACTGTAGGAACTGCTATTCATCAGTGTCGACTGTTGGAACTGCTATCCCCGGAGTGCAAACTGTAGGAACTGCTGCTCAGCTGTACAGACTGTAGGGAGTGTTATTCAGTTGTGTAGATTGTAGCGAGTACAGACTGTAGGATCTGATATTCAACAGTGCAGACTGTAGGGACTGCTATTCAGCAGTGTTGATTGAAGGGACTGCTATTTGGCAGTGGAAACATCTAAAAGGGCCACATTTCAGCAGCTTACTTAGCTATTTAGAATTCTCAACAGTTTCTTCTTACAACGATGACATGCTATTTTCAGATCAATTGTTAATTCCATTTACTATTCAGTAAACTAATATATATGAGCACATTTCTTATTAATGATCGAGAAAGGAAATTGAAAGAAGAAAACTCAGCTACGGAATTATTTTGTCCAACATGACAGAGTACGGGATAAGAGTTCATACATCACGTACGTCACATAATATTGACCAATCTGTTATGTATATTTAATTTGTATTGTTTGTTGGTTTTATGATCATGTTATATATATATATATATATATATATATATATATATATATATATATATATATATATATATATATATATATATATATATATATCTGTATTTGGTAGTTGACTTTATTTCAAAATCAAGTTAACAGTCTCTTGTAAATACAAAATCCGAATGCATAGCTATGAGATCTCTATGACAATAAATTAAATATTAAGATAATTATTAATAGGGGTAAACATGTTTATTTGACTCGTATATAATGAATTAGGAATAATTAGTTAGCACCGTATAAGATATACACGTATTTTGATATATTGGCTAAGAATTCTAAAATTACAGAAGACAAAGCTACACTGTATATTTAGTATGGGGGTGGGGGATAGTGAATGATGGGATGACAATGTTAACAAGGTTCTATTTACATTTGGATTTGGCAATGTTTGCTGTACTCAGGGAGAAAATGATGAAAATGCATTTCTTAGATAATTCGGCCAGAGATGTAAAGATATTCTAAGGCAAATTTGAAGGACCAGATTAAGTCTAATAGTGTCACTAGGGTTGGTGTTACCTAGTGTGATAACTCATGGTGTCACCCCCATGGACATCCTTCCTGCACAAAAAAGTTGATAAATGTTATAGACAGTCATGTGCGGTAACTCATGGTGTCACCCTCACGGACTTCCTTCCTGCAAAAAAAAAATATTTTTTTTACAGGCAGTCGTTTTGGTATCAGTCCCTCTGATGGTGTCACCCGGTGTGGTCCGCACCCACCCAACAGTCCTAGTGACGTCACTGATTAAGTCTATGGAAAGACTTCGTTCTTATAGGTCCTTGGGAGTAGAATTCACTTGTCAAATGTATTTATTATTGCTAGGAGATAACGAGTTTTGTTATATAATCACTATGATTGGAGTGGGGGGGACTAGCCAAATCAAAGGTAACGCAGGAATATATGTAAGTATTTGTTACAAAGAAAGATTGTGTCAACTTTGTAACGTTAATATTGAAAATGAATTCCATTTTTTTAATGTTTGTCCGCCATATCGAGAATTAAGAAAATATTTACTCACATTTGTATATAAAAATCAAACTTAAGCAGAAATTTAGAACTTTTATACAAAATGATTCTAGTACGTTTATGATGACAATTAAGCATTGTTTACTGTAAAAGCCAAAAAGATATGTGAAACTGTTTTATAATCGATACCTGCTACATAAGACTTTAGATCGATATAACAAAATATATTTCGTACAGGCTTTATGGTTTTCTTTAAATTAGTTTGTGTGACATATACTTGTATCTCACCCAATTCGAAAAATGCACTAATTGTTGCTTTCATGTATAACACTTCCAACAAACACGATCTTCTTTTGTCACGGACTAAATCATTACTATACCATATGGTGCATTGATATGTTTCATAGGCCCGTGACATGTAATACAAAAATAATCCCACTATTTACTCTTAGCAATCCATACAACAATTTGCATGTATCATAAGCATAAAAAAATTACATGTATCATAAATTTAAAAAAAAACTTTGCATGTATCAAAAAAAAATTAATATTGTCCTATAAATCCCAGTCTTCGTATAATCCTGTTAAAATACAGTAAGAAAGTATTTGCTCCTTTATTTGTCTTCCTTTTGGATATTTTCTGGAGCTTTCATTTAAAACTCCTAAGCCCAGGTAGGTAATTAGATCGGATGTAGTCAGGTAGGTAATTAGATCGGATGTAGTCAGGTAGGTAATTAGATCGGATGTAGTCAGGTAGGTAATTAGATCGGATGTAGTCAGGTAGGTAATTAGATCGGATGTAGTCAGGTAGGTAATTAGATCGGATGTAGTCAGGTAGGTAATTAGGTCGGATGTAGCCAGGTAGGTAATTAGATCGGATGTAGTCAGGTAGGTAATTAGGTCGGATGTAGCCAGGTAGGTAATTAGATCGGATGTAGTCAGGTAGGTAATTAGATCGGATGTAGTCAGGTAGGTAATTAGGTTGGATGTAGCCAAGTAGGTAATTAGGTCGGATGTATCCAAGTAGGTAATAAAGGTCAGATGTAGCCAGGTAGGTAATTCGGTCGGATGTATCCATATAAGTAATTAGGTCGAATGTAAACAGGTAGGTAATTAGGTCAGATGTTGCATGAAGCTTGGAAATCCACCCCGTCCTTTCGCGTTTCTTAAAACAAACTCTCTAGCCTTGTAAAAAACAGAGGGATGCCATTATTGTTGGGGATTAGCATCATTCGTCTGACATGGTATTAAATTTGGTATTATTCGACTAACATGGTGTCAATTTTGGTGTAATTCCTCTGACATGGTGTTAAGTTTAATACATGGTGCCATCGTTTACTCTGTATATTTTCTAAAGTATCTATGTTACGAGTCTATGCTAAT